CATGAGATAGGTTGCTATTATCCCTAAGGTACTATCACTGATCAGAAAAATTCACTGATAAGGAAACTACATAAATGAAGTCACCAGCAAATAGCACGTGTCATGGGATTTAAACATGGGTGAGTTATCAGCACAACTGGCAATTGTCCGAAGTTGTTGACTTAAGACTTTTATGGCTTAGCATATTAATAATAGTTTTACTTTTTGTACCTTGTGGTTATACTTTTCTGCTGGATGGCTAAGACCAAGTGAGAGCAAGACCTATTTAACTAAAAATGTAACTTTTGCTATCTGACAAGGTCAATCAAATCCCCTCAGGATTTACCCTGGAACCATGCACAGCACCTTGTGTATCTTCTATCAGTGTCAGCCATGTGGATGAGCTACGGCCATTGCTTGACCAATTTGCTCTCTATGAAAGCCTGAGAGAACTTTTTTCTCTCTAAGTGACTCTCCTTAGGCACACTATACATCATCAATCACTTTCTTCTGGCCTCATAATTTCCTTGATCAGAAAATTTGGGACACCTTGGGTTATTCTGCTGAATTTAAGTACATAAAATCTTTGGACTGGCAGCAAGTATGAAAAGGCTCTTTAAAGACCTCTCCTCCAAATATAGCTTTTCTAACTGCAATGGAACACTCACCTGACAAAAGAAAACAAAAGAAAGGGGGATATAAATAAAGGACCATTTTGTTATGAAAAAAATATATATATATGTATGTATATACAAGATAGTCAGGATAGATATACAGCTACTTTCTCTTAGTTCATTGAGAAGAAAGGTTTGTACTAATATTGTTTAGACAAGATCTCATGTCTGTATCTTGTCCTCTGAATAACCACTACAAGGACAACAATATACAATGTATTATTGTCACTGTCCTACTAACCTGTTTTGAAACTGTTTCATTACTATTTTATCTTTTTCCCCATTAAAATGAATTTAAAAAAATAAAAAAGTAAACCTGAAACAGAGAAAAATAATAAAGATAAAAAGTAAAAATAAACATGGATATGCCGAGAGTGCAAATACATGGCAGGAGGCTGTCCTCATCATTTTAAAGAAGAGAAAAACTAAAGTTCAGTGAAAGAAAGGGACTCACCAACTGTCAGAATGCAATTATAGGTGAGAGTTAAGTTTTCAGGATTCTTTTTATGGTTTCCTGACATTTCCTGTACTCTAGGATTTCAGTCCACATATCTGAAATAGTGAGAAATAATTTTTTAATTTTTTCCATTTTTTTCAATTTTATTGAGAAACAAATAGAAATGAGACAGTTTCAAAGCCGAATATTAGGACACTTTCAATAATAAATACATTGCATATTGTTGTCTTTGTAGTGGTTATTCATAGTACAAGATGCAGACATGATATCCTGTCCAAACACCATTAGTACAAATCTTTCTTCTCATTGAATTAAGAGAAAAGAGCTGTGTGTTTATCCTAACTATTTTGTATATACATATGCAAAATGGTCCTTCATTTGTATCCCCCTTTTTTGTTTAGTTTTGTCAGAGATGGGTATTCCATTGCCATTTAAATACAGTAGGTGTGTGATTTCCGCAAAATAATCCAATATAGTCCAGTAGTCTATAATAGTAGTGGGTTGGGCCAGGAGATGGCTCAGTGGAATAAGCACTTCCCTGGCAAGTGCAAGGGCATGAGTTCAATACCTGGTTCTGGAAAAAAAAATCCCACAGATCAAAGTTTAGGTTTTATGGTAATAACAATAAGCTTGTCTTCTGGATGGTTAACAACCTAAGTTTGCAGACCAAAATTAGAGAAAAAGGAGGGCCGCAAGGAAAGCCAACATTTTGTCCCTAGCCTTCCAAGGTCAATTAAGACTCAGGACATATGAGAACTTGTACTGTAACATCATATAACTCTATAGTGTCCCAAATTTTCTGATCAGGGAG